CATGCATTTGCACGCAATCTACACCTTTTCGAACGTCAGAAACAGATATCATCTCATTGTTTGATATACATATGTTCCTTTCGCTGGGCTCTCTACATCTCTGAGCCTCATTTCATATAAAATAACTATGGCATGTAAAACCCTTTCGAAGATTACTTGATTACGTCAATCTAGAAAAAGTGACAGTTCTGCGCATGAGCCTTCACATTTTGCAAATGTTAGAGAAAAAGAGCTATCGAGGAAATTGGAAACACTGTGAAAGAGCTATTCGCAGCAAAAAGTATTTAAAGAATACGAAGAACGAGATACGTTCGTGTCCTATTTATAATCCATAATTCTTCTTGAATGCTTCTTTTCGTTAAATTTTGAAAGTCACATCAATACAGCATAACTACAGTTAGGGTCTTATCCTGATCTCTACACAACTCTAGGAGAGATCAGGTAAAAACCCATGAATTCGTCGCGCCTCGGCTTCTTTAGTGGGCGATGAAACGGGATTTCTATAGAAATTCTCGTTAGCACCTTGGTAATTTATGAAGGGAAAGAAAAAGCCAAATTTTTAAAGTTAAAAACTGTGACCACATAAAGTTGAATAAATAAAAGAGTTAAGCAAGTACAAATTATGAATTTCAAGAGCAAAATAAAATGCTACGCTGAGTTCGTCGAGATATAAAAGTATATTCAAACGTAAATTTTTGTAAGTATTGGTCAAAATATATTACTTCCCATGTTACCTAATAAAAACATAGCAAGGTTAACAAAAATTCTAGAAGAACCTAAACTTTCCAGCAAACGATTATCAGTGGTATTTCAGGGGTCCTATTTTTGTAATTTTAAAACCCTTTCTAAACTATTATTGGAAAAAACCTGTGTCTATGCGGGTAAAAACTATTTGCGTTTGTGAGTTTCCTTATAAGATGTTCAGAAATGATGATATGGAAAAATGGAATAGAAAAACATGAGAATTAGTTAGAGTCAAGATAGATTTTACTCCATTGATTCGCTAAAAATTTATGGCAGCTAATAACTATTACCATGCCTGGTTCAACAGCATAGGTTGCAATTTCGACAACATAAATAAACCCTTTTCAAGTCAATAGTTAATAGCTATGTCTTCTTTCTACCGTAGCCAGCATTTCAAATAACGATCTACGCTTTTTTCCGCCAATAAACATATTTTATACTCCTGACCTTAGCAGTCACCAGCCTTAACAAGCCTATCCTCTTGATTTATAGTGCAATTGATGTGAATAGCGACTATAATTAAAACTACGGCATAAGCTGAAAGGCGCATGAGAAAAAGCATGCCTGTTTCAATGGTTTTGCAAGCTAGAGATTTGGCAATTTCCAATAGTGGATAGAATGTTCTCCAATAGTTCGCCTTTATAAAGGTAAGGTAAGTAAGCGGCAACATTTGGAGGCTTAACGGAACCAGTTTCCAAAACTTTAAAAATCTACCTCAACAGTAGTGTTGGCATATAATACTTCACTACGAC